TGTAGTATGTATAGTACTTCATTCCTTTTCTTGGTTAAATAATATTCCTTTGTATGGATATGCCACTTTTTAAAAATCCATTTATCAGTTGATAGACAATTGGGTTATTTCTTCTGGCTATTATGAATAATGTTGCTATAAGTATATTTTTGTGTGGATGTCTGTTTTCATTTCTCCTAGGGTGTATACCTAGGAGTGGAATTCTTGGGTCACATAACTCTGTTTAACATTTTACAGTGTTGCCAAACTATGTTCCATAGCAGCTGCACAATTCTGTATTCCCATTACCAATGAAGGAGAGTTTCAATTTTCCTACCTGCTCACCAACACTTGTTATTCTCTTTTAGAACATAGCCATCCTAGGGTATGAAGTGGTAGCTGGTTGTGGTTGTTTATTTGATCTTGGCCTGTGCTATAGTTTAAATATTTGTCCCCTCCAAATCTGATGTTGAAATTTAATCCCCAATGTTGTAGAGAGGACCTGGTGGGAGGTTTTGGGTCATGGAGGCAGATCGCTCATGAATGGCTTCATGTCATCCTCATGGTAATGAGTGACTTCTCACTATTAGTTTCCAAAAAATCTGACTGTTGAAAATAGCCTGGTGCCTCCTCCCCTCTTGCCACATGATGCTTGTTCTTCTTTCCCTTCTACCATGACTGGAAGCTTTCTGAAGTCCTTACCAGAAGCAGATGCTAACACCATACTTCTTGTACAGCCTGCAGAACCATGAGCTAAACAAATCTCTTCTCTTTATAAATTACCCAGCCTCTAGTATTCCTTTATATTATAGCAATGCAAAATAGACTAAGACAGGTTGGTTAAAAATGATTTCATTGTATCTACAGCAAATATATATATATATATATATATATATATATATATATAAAATACACATATTGCAAGTATTATTATAAGAGCCAAGTAAAAAGAAAAACCCCGATAATAAAATGAAGCCAAAAGAACGTTAAAAGGTACATAAAAATGAATGCCAGAATGCCATGTACAAGGACTAATGTTGGACTGTGCAATCACTTGGTTTACTTTCTAGTGTCATGATGCTTTTGAAATAAAATACTTCAGTAACTCAAGCAAGGCTCAGTTTTCCACAGATTTAAGAGAACAACAACAAAGAAAGAGCCATGATCTAAATTACAATAAAGTTAAAATTGCATAAATTTTACACTCCTAGGCCTCAAACTCTATAAAACAAAGTAAGGATTTTAGACCAATAATGGCCTTTATTTTCACTGACCTGAAGGTAACAGAGCAATAGTTTTTTGTTTTGTTTTGTTTTGTTTTGAGAGACAGGGTCTCACTCTGTCACCCAGGCTGGAGTGCAGTGGTATGATCATAGATCACTGCAGCCTTGACCTTCTGGGATCAGGTTATCCTCCTGCCTTAGCCTCCTGGGTAGCTAAGAGTACAGGCACATGCTGTCATATCTGGTTAATTTTTTGATTTTTATTTTTCTAGAGACAGGGTCTTACTATGTTGCCCAAGCTGGTCTTAAACTCCTGGCCTCAAGCAATTCTCCTGCCTTGGCCTCCCAAAGTGCTGGGATTACAGTCTGGAGCCACCGTACCTGGCACCAAAAGCTTTTTCTACTTCTCTGATGGCAACTCATCGTGAGAAATACTTCACATAGTGAACGAGCATATGCACACACACTTGTATTTATGTGTATGAAACTAAACCAAGTATTTTGAGAAATAATACTTAAACTTACTAGTAGAAATACATTCACAATATATAGTTAAAATTAAAAAAAAGAAACAAAGCAAAGCAAAATAACTTTGCTGGTCCTGAGTCACTAAACTGTGCATTGTAACTTGTAATTTTAAAAACAATGACTTAGCTTATAAACAAGGGGAAGAGTAAATAAATGCATGATATGAGTTAAATCATGGCTATCAAATCCCAAACATTCTATGATATAGTTCCAATGTGTAGGTGTCCAATATGGTATTTCATGAACACAAAAATGGATTCTAAGTTTAGATACTGAAAGTGAAATATAAATATATTTGAGCTAAGGTCAAATAGAGAAAATGGAACTCTGACATTCACTGGTATCTTTGTAGCTGTAAGAATAGTAATTCAATGGTTTTTAAAATAGTTCAATGACATGCTTGTTCAGTGAGATAGACATTTCATATGGAATTGTTTTGTTTATATAAAATGGATCTGGCCGCAGTGAGCTGTGATCACGCCACTGTACTCTAGCCTGACAGAGTGAGACCCTGTCTCAAAAAAAAAAATAAAAAGACATTAAAAAAGAAATACAATCTAAGGGTCATCAATATAGGCATTAAAAACAAACAAAAATACCTATTTACTGTAATGCTATGTCACTATTTCACTCTGTGAAGCTAAATAAGGCTCTAACTGTTTAATAATGGGGTTTTCTTTAATTTCTGTAAAGATAAAACAGGTATTGACAACAGGATTGGATAATAATCAATGAATTCAAAAGTTAAATTTCTGACTTCAATTTCTAAAACAGTGGTCTATTTTAAAATATAAGTTGTTATCCTCTTAAAAGGTTGACAGGTCAAAGTGAGTTGTTTTTTAAGCTTGTCATCATTAACTGTCAAAATGAGAGCTTGAATTTAAAACAAAGCTGACTTTCGAGGAAATCAAGAAATCATAGCAAATAACTTATCTATGCACAGAAAATTTCCTTAAGACAATGTATCTTTCACTAAAAATAGCAGATTTTTTTACTTAACATTAATGAAATTAACAGAGACGCTTTAAGAAAAAATAGCCCTCTAAATTCATTGCTAAGTCACTTCTATTACTACCCTATGTGTTATGTCACTCAGCATTTCCATATTAAAGCCTGAGTTCTTTATACCGAGCCTCTAGCACATCACATTCAGTTATTCAACAGTTCTTTAGTTAGGTTCAATGAAAATACCAGGTGGGTTCTATGAATCTATGAAGTAGATTATTAGACACAGAGATTACCAACATATATTCTCTACTTTTAAGAACTCATATAATATAATGTAATACAAGAAAGTCTACTTTTACTAATGACTGAGGAGTTTTATTGGATGAATAACATACAAATAAAAAAATTATAAATACTGAGCTTAGACAAGGAACCCAGTTGAATACCACTTTATCTTGTTGAGTTGGCTTTCTATAGTTTCAATCTGTTTTTATTACTTTGCCGAGTGTCTAAGTCCAGATCTAGGTCCTTGGGGCACTCTTTTCATGACGGCTGTACGTACAGCTCCAGATAAAAACTGTGCTCTACGAAATACTCAACTGAACCACAGACCAACTGCTTCTCGGAAATCTTATAATACATTATTCTTAAACCCTTTAGCTAAAGTCCAACAACTGATATTTTTGCAGGTTTGGCTTGACTTATTCAATTTCATTTTTTTCTATACCATTTAGGCCAGTAATCCCCAACTTTTTGTTCATCTAGACACAGTGCAAGATGAGGACAACAATATCCTCCTGTGGGCGTAAGCAGTTTTATGTGCTGTATTCCACGTAAAACTTAAATGCAAGGTTGAGAACCTCTCTTCCAGTCTGTGCTCAGAGAAATCAACTCCCACCATAGCTTCTGTGTGCAATTAACCTTAAATTATCTCTTTTGTTTTTCTATACCAAATTTTCAATTCAGCAACCTCTATGCCACCATGACTCTGCCATTTATTTATTTATTGATTGATTGATTGATTGATTGGAGATAGGGTCTTACTTTGCCACCCAGGCTGGAGTGCAGTGGCACGATCATAGTTCACCACAGCCTCAAACTCCTGGGTCCAAGGGATCTTTCCACCTCAGCTAGAACTACAGATGTATACAACCATACCCGGCTAATTTTTGTATTTTTTGTAGAGATGGGGTCTCACTATGTGGCTCAGGCTAGCCTTGAACCCCTGACCTCAAGCAATCCTTCCACTGCAGCCTCCCAAAATGCTGCTGGGATTATAGGCACAACCCACTGTACCAGGCTCTTCTTCATTTTTTAACCTACTTCTTACTGTGCCTTTATTTCTGGTCCATCACTAAATTATCATTCCCAAACCTACATTTCCATCTCAGTTTTGTTTACAGAAGGGAATCTGAACAATTAAAGTAAACATACTTAGGGAAGTGATTTATCCATCAGTTATGCATACAGACAAATACCACAGACTACCATATGTAGGTATGTACATACATGTCTTCAGACACACATTTCTGTCCTTTTCTGTACTGAACTCTGCTACCTCCCTACCTTTTCAGCCTTATTTGGAATCTAGCTAGGTAACAAGGGGAAGAATCCCTTAATATAGATAATCCACAAAGCAGATATTATGCCAGTGGATAATTAAGGATCATTTACTATGCCATAATGAGAGAATCCTCTTATAAGCCACTGGACTTTTTAGATACAATCATAGGAACAGAATGTGCTGGGTCTTTATGAAATCCAAAAATGACTTAAAAAACATTAAAGGTGACTTTACAAGTAAGGTATGCCAAATAACAGAAAACATTTTACATATGGTTTTTATCATTTAAAAAATTACTCTTTAAAGAAGCTATTCTAGATGATATTTAATAATGTTGTCACTATGTATTTTTCTTATGTATAGATTATTACACTAAAGTACATTACTACTGAACTGCAAAAGTAAAAAATATTTGTATAGTCTTAGGTATAGCCTTTCTCCATGTACTGGGGTAACTTGAATAGAATTTTAAAAACTTAGACAAAACAATCTCCTGCATGTGTTTGGTATCAAAAGACCACAATTTTAAATACAGTTGGAAATATTTTGGCAACTTTAAGAAACATGAAATACCTTTTTCATAATGGTTACTGGATTAACTAGATTGATAGTATTATTTTTCCCGGAAAATTAGGCTTTAATTTGAAACATGAACTACACTTTTTATTTATAAAAAAATGTTTTTGCCATCCAAATAAATCAGTGTCATAAACACCAACTACAAATAAGAGTTTAATTAAATAGAAAGTTTTACATACGTGAGAGTTGTTTCCATTCTTGAGACTTGTTCAAGGTCTTCATCAGGGTCCTTGAATCCGGTAAAGGAGTAATAAGACTTGTCCCATTTGATGGGCCTGTCAGGCATCCTTTTAGCTTCTTTGAGAGGCTGGGTATGCACATTAGTATTCAAGCTTTGGATATGTTCAACAGATAAACTGCAGGAGTTGAGAATATATAATACTGTGCTTAGCAGATCTCTGGTGTGCAAAGTAAATTTGACTGCTCGAAATCCTAGAGAATATAATTCCCCCAAACAATTAATACAGGTGATTATTTGCTTTATTTCAACATTTATACAATCAAAATCTTTTAAAACATTCCATTACTGATTTAAATTTGTCCCATGGGCAAACCACCTGTAAATGGAAAATGACTTCCCTTCTCCAAAACTATACCACACTATTTTTATCTTCATGAATTCCTTCAATCATCAGCTCCATTATCTAGTTTGGCCCCAGTGACCAAACCCATTCCAGCCCAAGGAGGGGATTCAGATTATTCTCAATTCTGTCAATAAATCTGGTCTCTTAAGAGAGAGAAAAGCTATCCTATGAGCAGGTGCCCACCAAACATAGTTTCTAGTGGAGAGAGGACAGAGAATATAGGTATGCACTGCGACAGTGAGTTAGATATAAGCGGCCATATAATCTAGTCTTGGTGGTCACAGAAACCGATCTTGAATTTTCTCTGTGACTGAAGCAGATGGTCCTCATACTTGCTCACTTAACTAGGTAGTAACCCAATATTTTCAGGAGTGATTTAAAATTCTCTAATTGTTTAAAAGTTACTGATTTTGATGTTGGGTAATCATTGGGCTAAGGTAAGTAATCTAAATTGTTAAGTCATCAACAGAAAATCCACTGGTTTGTTTTTTTTTTCTTTCTTTTCTGGGTGTTAGGCATGGTTCCAGCTGAATTTACATACCTTTTCAATCAACACTACTACCAACTATGCCATTGTCATTTCTCTTATCAAAAGTGAAGAAACACAGATTAAGAATGAAGCCAGGGCTTAAATCTGTGTTGACACTAAGCCAAATATTTTCTCTACTACAACATGCTGACTTCTTGCTTCTTAAAACACATTTTTAAATTAGTTTTGGAAATTATACATGTATAAGTACATGCTTATTATAAAATTAGAGATACATATAGTAAAAGCAAAAGTCTCATGTTAACAGGCATATAACTTTACATCTTTACTTGAGGTAATCAATATTAACAGGTACATATTCTAAGATGGTAGCCACTAGCACATGGGGCAATTTAAAATTAAATTGACTGATATGAAGTAAAAATTCAAAATTAAGTTATTTGGCCCCATTGGTCACATTTCAAGTGCTCAATAAGCACATGGGGCTAGGGCCTGCCATATTAGATGATGCAGATATGGAAAATTTCCCTCATCACAGAAAGTTCTCTTGGACAGCACTGTTCTTTGACCTTTTCCATCTACGTGCTTGTGTGTATCATGTATGATATATATGCATGTGCGTTTATATGAACACATACGCAGTTTGAATTATTCCTTAATACATAAGTGGATTCTAGATACATTACCTTGAACACGCGTTTGTCACTTAAACTGGGTGACCCTTCCATATCTGTATGTATAGATCAACCTCATTCTTTTTAGCAGTGCATACTAGTCTTTATTTTCTTGTCTTTGTGGATGACAGACACCGCAATTTAAATCATTCTCAGAGATACACATTCTGCTTGCCACACCAACTTATGAGATTCAGAACATGCCAATGAAGAAAGATTTTTTTTTTTTTAGTTCAAAAATTTGGGTAAACTGAGAACTATCAGCAAGGGAATTATTCTAGTCAGTGAAGGAGGAAAGGAAAATCCAAATTGCTGCATTGGAGGTTAAGAAAAAATAGCTCATTCTCAGAAGTGCAAAGTCAAGGAGTAAATCTATTTCTATCTCAATTTATCAGCTTCATTATTTAATCCAACATAAGAGCTGCTATACAGTGAGGACTGCCTGTACCACACTGAAAATATCCTTTACTGGTTCCTTGGGATACATTCCACAAAGAATTTTGTGGCTTTGGGAAGAAAATTCCAAGCTGCAGAGTTTGCACTAATTTATACACCTGTCAATAATGTGGGAAAATGCATTTTTACCATCTATGGGTATTACCAGCAAGAAAAAAAAAATTAATAGGCAAAAAATAGTACCTAATTATTTCAGTTTGCATTCGAATACTGAGGCTAAAGATTTATTTTTTATTTTTTAGATAGGGTCTCACTCTGTCACCCAGGCTGGAGGGCAATGGTGCCTGCCATCTTGGCTCACTGCAACCTTGACCTCCTGGGCTCAGGTGATTCTCCTACCTTAGCCTCCTGAGTAGCTGGGACTATAGACACATGCCACCATGCCTGATTAATTTTTTGTATTTTTTAGTAGAGATGGGGTTTTGCTATGTTTCCCAGGTTGGTCTGGAACTCCTGGACTCAAGCAATTTGCCTGCCTTGGCCTCTCAGAGTGCTGGGATTATAGGCATGAGCCACCATGTATGGCCTAAAGATTTTAATATACTTAACTGACCATTTATGTGTATTATTTCCTGAACGGTGTATTCATCATCTTGGCCCATTTTTGCAATGGAGCTACTCTGGTTTCTCTTTAATTTGTAAAAACTCTTTATATATTAGCATTATCTTTTTGTCATATATGCTATTTCTTTTCTCCCATTGCTAGTTTAATTTTTTCTATAACCTTTACGTTTTTGGTTTTAAAGACAGTCTCAGCCAGGGACAGTGGCTCACACCTGTAATCCCAGCACTTTGGGAGGCTCAAGGAGGTGGAACACAAGGTCAAGAGATCGAGACAATCCTGGCCAACACGGTGAAACCCCATCTCTACTAAAAATACAAAGATTAGCTGGGTGTGGTGGCACGTACCTGTGGTCCCAGCTACTCGGGAGGCTGAGGCAGAACTGCTTGAACCTGGAAGGTGGAGGTGGCAGTGAGCTAAGATCACGCTATTGCCCTCCAGCTTGGTGACAGAGCGAGACTCCAGCTCAAAAAAAAAAAAAAAAAAAAAGACAGACAGTCTCTCTATGTTGTCCAGGCTAGCCTCAAACTCCTGGACTCCCAAGTGAATCTCCTATCTCCGTCTTCTGAGTAGCTGGGAGTACAGGCTTATGTCACCATGCCCAGCTATAAGCTATTTTTGTGTAAAAAAATCATTAAAAGTTAACCATTAACTGAAAGCAAAGGATTCTGTTTTTACTCAGCCAGAGCTGGCTATAGCTATTTGTCTTACTGTTAATTCACAGAAAGTTCTTAGTAAATCTTTAACTTGTTTTAAAATTTATTCTAATAACAGCATTTATTTCCTCATGAACCACCAAAAAGATATGGAGCTGAAGAAATAATTTCAGCCTTTAAGGATTTCAATGTATTAATAATGCCAAAGACTCATAAAATTTCATATTGAAAATCATTAGTAAATATTTAACCTTATCACCATCTTAATTACTAAAAGCTGATTAATGGTTTCTAGTGTTCTAGAAATAAAATTTTTTTAAAAACCTACTTGATTTTAATTTTATTATCAGGCAAAAATGTTACAGAAATAAAAATATTTTTAATCTTTGTCAGAGGGCCAATCTTTGTTATAAAGGCAAAAGGAAAAATGATTAACTGCAATATTTTAAAAGAAGAATAAATAAATAATGCGGTATACAAGTAAAAACACTGGACTAGGGATAAGGAAACATTAGTTCTAGTACTGGCTCTGTCTCTAATCTGCTGTGTGAAACTGTCTAAGTTTTCCACTAAGCTTTCAAATTCAGTTTACTCTTTAACTCCATGTATATTCAATATTTAAGACAAATCCAGCTGACAGTGATATAGAAGTAGCAGTTGTAGCTGTAGGAATGAGATTGACTCCCTTAACCACATACAAATAAAAACAGATTGATGATAATATTTTTATTTTAAAAACTAAAGGATGTAATCTGCCTCTGAAAATTCCATCTGTCCTCCTGAAGAAATCAAGAAACCTAAGTAGACTACTACATATAAGTAAGGTTTTATTTAATTCCTAGTCTAACCTTGATCCTGAGTAACAGGAGCATATATCTATTTAAAATATTTATGAATATTTGGTTTCACACAAGTAACAATGTATCTCAGTTGCTTATGAGACTCTTATGGCTACAAACAGAACATTCATAATGGATTTAAACTTTCAAACAGAATTGTGTCACTCAGAGTGATCAACCATGCTTATTATTCATTATTTACAGCATTCTTCAGTACAGTTGTTCCTTCACAAAAGGGCTATGAGTTGACTTTCTGTTTTTAAGTATTGAAGAATAGGACTATTTTAATAAAAACCATAAGTCAGAGGTAGATGGGGAAACTGCCAAAAAAAAAAAAAAAAAAAAAAGAATCTATGACTCCTGATCTCCCGTATTCAATTATGAGAGAATAAAAGGTAGGAGACCGTATATTATGAAATACTAGTCCCTGCAGAGACTGGGTGAGGAGTTGTCTTCAACATAAACATCCTACTTCAGCACTCTTCAGATCAAGCTCTTCCTCCTTCCATTTGAGGTCCTGAGAGCCGTGGGAGAGTAAGGTGTAAGGTAGGGATTTTTCATGTGAGTGGCCTCTACATAGTTCTCCAACTCTTTCTTTCTAATAAATGAAGACCCAAAAGTTAAAGTCACACAGCTAGGTCACTGGCAGAGCTAGAAACAGATTTTAGATTCCAAAGACCTATCAAATTCTGAGTTTTGTAATAGTTTGTTTCAAAAAAATTACAGTGTGTTCTCTAACTGTTTTACCTTAACTCATAGAAAGCACTCAGCAAATATTTAAGTTGTCTTAAGTTCATTCTAAAAATATAATTATTTCGGCCGGGCGCGGTGGCTCACGCCTATAATCCCAGCACTTTGGGAGGCCGAGGCGGGTGGATCACGAGGTCAAGAGATCGAGACCATCCTGGTCAACA